GAGACAGAACAGCAGGATAACATGCCCAGGAAACCACATAAATAGTCTTTATTCCTTAGTCCCTGTCCCCTTCTTTTTCTCTGGCCACCCTGTCCCTTATCACCTATGTCCCAATGCCCCTTGCCAATCCTAAGACCTTAGCATTAAGTTTCATTAAAAGGAGTCATCTTCATTAAAAGGACACCTGTATTAAAAGGGGCATGGGTAGCTCATTGTTATTGCTCCTGTCTTTCTCCCTCATTTGGAAGTTGTCATGAAGGGTTTGATGTACAGAACAATATCCTTTGCTCTAATGATCTGTAGACGGAGACAGGAGCTCAAAGGCTCCTGCCTCTGCCTCACACTGTGCCAGGGGAAGTGGCTGGTGCTCACGTTTGATGGGAAGGCTGGAACAAAGCATGTTAAGAGGACTCAGCAGGACCATGGGAGTCATAACAAGCCTCTGAAAGTGTTTCAACTCTTTTCCTCAACCTTAGCTGTTGTGACAAATGTGTCAAAGCTTTAGACAGAGCATACCGGGTCCTGATGGAGCCCGGGTTGATGTAGTGCGGGACCAGTGCGTCCAAGTCAATGTACTGAAGCAGGTAGTAGAGGAAAGGAATGTCTTTGTGGAAGGATAAGGTTGCTGACATTCACTCTTAAAGTTTCTGCACATTAACTACTTCATGGGAAAAAAAAAAATCAGTTTCAGGTCTGGAGAGCCACTTCATTGTAAGCTTTCCAACTCCTTGAGTTTGTATGATGCCATTAAAACTGACCTGAGATCAAAATATAAAACATAAGACTATTCAGAAAAATGTATTCATGTCAGTCTGCAAGTAGGTGGCTCCTAGATATGAACGAGTTTTCTTGCCTTCCATGGGCCACCTGTCATCAATCTAGAGATTTCACTAGATTATCTGTGAGCAAGTACCTTTGGGTTAAGGAAGGAAACAAGACATTCATGAAAGCCCACATTGCTTCCCTCTAGGACACATATCTGGGGCTGAGCTTGAAGTGATGATTACAAAAATGCCCTGAGTAAGTTGCCAATGTTCCTGTCACCTACTGTGCAGCAATTTCAAAAATCTGTGAATGCTTCCATGAATATCTAGAGCTTAGAGAGAAGTAACTATGGAAGTCTATAGCTAGTACCTTATTTTCTGCGTATTTCCCTTCAGATGAGCAGAGTCAGCCATAAAAGAACACCAGTAACTTTTATTAGAAAGAGTAAAGGTCCCTACTTGTCTGGGAATGGAATTTCAAGTTTCATTGACTTGGAATCCCAGTACTTCTAAGTCATCTTTCAGCTTTAACTGGAAGAGAAAGCAGAAATATACCTGGTATGAGTAGCTGGACTTCAGTTGGCTTCAAAGGAGTACAGGTTAGAGTTTGGTTTCTAATTTTAAATACTTATCACTAACCAAAAAACAAAAAAAAAAGATAGGAACTCACAAGAACTGGTTGAAAGAACTGGGTTTTTATTTTGCTGTTCTTACACATAGCCTGACAGAAATTTTTACTTATATTTTCTATGCTTTAAATTTGCATCTGAAAAATGGGAATAAATAACCTTGATTGATCTACTGAAAACATTGTAAGGCAGTTAGTGTCTTTAAAGTCTAGGGTAAGTAGCTGTTCAATCAAGAGGTTTTTAAAATATTATTATTATGATTATTATAACAATCACAGGGTGAGGTCACACCAAATAATTGTTTTCTTTCCTGTGTAATGACATATTCTTAAACCTCTTAGGGAGCCATTTTCAGAACAGGGTTACTGGAGTCCTGTTGATTACTCTTTAGAAATGAATGCAAAATGATTGCTAATATCCAGTGGGGAAACAGGTACTCTTGGACACTGTTGGTGGGCATATAAATTGGAACAGCCTTACTGGAGGGTAATTTAGCAAATTCTATCAAAATTTAAATGCTCAAATCTCTTTAACCAAGCAGTTTCACTGGTGAATTTCCAACTTAGAGAAAAAACTCCACTTGTACACAAAGAAACGTGCAGAAATGGTCTTTTCTTTTTTTGAGATTGTATTTGTAAATTCTTACATGCCTTCTAGTGAACAATGAGCAAAATTTAAGTGACATTTCACTCATCCTGTGACATCCTACATAGCAGTTAAAGGGAATGAAGATGATCTGGTGGAAAGCTCTTTAGCTGTATATTTGAGGGAAACTAAATCCATCATGTTTCCAATTATGTCACAAAGATATGTTTTCATATATGTAAAGTCAGAGAATGCTTGGAAAGCTTAGGAATACCTGTTAAATGGCTGAGCTATGGGAAGGAGGAGGCGAACAGGGAGCGAGAGTACACATGACCTCTACTTTCTTGCTTTATGTCCATATCCTCTGGGTGTTTTTAAATATAGAGAATATACATAGAAATAATGAGTAGAACACAAAGACACTTTAATTTTCACTTAAAATTTTTAAGATAGTTCTATTATCTGTTTCTGTTGTAAATACCATCAGGATTATTGGAAGGAGAATAGCAATGGTCAGGGGATTTTAGATGCATTGATTTATTAATTTCATTTTCCTTGATTATTTTTTTCCCAATTTTGGTAGAAGATGTGCAGAACCAGAAAAACATAAAGTACTATGTTTGGTAGTATAGTCCATGGAACATGCATCTCAGATTTGAATAGAAAACTTGTTATTCAAAGCATAATCTATAGGACTCAATTTCTCCTTCCTTTTTCATAGCAATGTTTTTTTGATACAATGAGTCAATATGCATGAAGTGATTGGCACTATGACTGCCATGTCAAGTACTAATGGATTTTCAGTGAATTATTAGCAGACAAGTGTAAGGAATCCAAATATAGCAAAGGAAATAGGGTCTCTTTGCTGCAGGACTTCTCAGAACCTTTGATACACTCATGTGTACAGTGAATTTCTAGAATAATTATGCTATATGTTGTTCCGTTCAGAATCATTTGTCCATGACAATCATATTTTTTGAGAAATATCTTGAGTAGCTGACATATCTGAAGAATTGAGATGCTGACTTAGAGACCATTAATTAAAATGGGATTCAGAGTGCCAGATGACGAAGGGTCCATTAGTTTGACCCCATTATAACCCAACTGTCTTGGTTTACACTGGAAGATGCACACATGAAGTATTTTGTTTTATGCCCACCAGACTAAAAGAGGCCCTTCTACCTGACACTCTTGCTTTCCAAGCCTAATGTTCAGTCGCAAGATGAAACTCTCAGAGATTCAGTGTAAAATGCTTCCAGTTGTAATGGTTACCACTGATTGAGTGCTTATAATGCAATAAACACTTTGCTAAACTTTTGAGATTTATAATCTCACTTAATTGTGGGAGACAACAGGAATGACTCCCCTTGAATGCAGAACAGTAGCTGCAACTTTGATTATAATATCTGAGACTTACTTCCTTATACTGATATGTAGAGAGCTGGCTATGGTGTTTCCTTCTCTCTTCAGTTGGCTCTAAGCATTGCAAATAAGGCTAGCTGAGGTCTTGATATGTAATCTCTAAAGCGGCCAGACAGTCCCTGTTTCTTCCAGTTGTGCTCTCCCTAAAATATATAAGCATAGTGGGATGGTAGAACCAGTCAGTTCCAGGAATGTTAACTGGGTAAGAGCCTCAAGGGAAAGAGGCTATGACTCCCCAGGGCACAAAGTTTGTATGTCAGAAACTGAAGCAAGAGCCTCCAAAAACAATTCAGTTGCTACCTTAATTGAATTATGCAAGTTCATCCTTCTACATATTCTTATCTCTGCATTTTGCAAAGATGTTTTCTCCCGTACCTGGCTAACCAGCTCAAGTTACTCACATAGTTCCTGCTGTCCTCACTGTCACTCATCCCTGAGCCACCCCTTCTTCACAGGATGATAAATTCTGGGAGAGGCCTTAGATCAGGGCCTTTATCCACACATTCTCAAAGGGATCGGACTTAGGACTTCTTGGCTGCCCTTAAATTGGAATATGTCTTGGTGTCTTTACTCTCGTGGGTGGCATTGGAGGTGGTAGATTGGAATTAACTTGCTGAGATTCCAATAACATTTTGCAATACTTTAACTGTACTCAATATTTTGAATTATAATACTTAATCAGCTTAGCAGTCACATTGTGCAGGTGTGATGATCTATCTGTCTGTTTTTACAGATAACTAAAGCTTAGAAAGAGAATAATTGCCAGGTTCATCAGCTGTTTAGTGGCCCAACTTAAATTTGCAAACAATCTGTCACCTCGAGATAATAATCAACACGTTAAGTTGGTGTAAAGAAAACTTCCATTAGAAATTGTCCTAGAGCGCACTTTTAGGTTTTTACTATTGAAATCTAGTGACCCAATAAAATGTGTAAGCCAATTTGTGTGTGGACAGATCAGTGTACACACAATACTACTAGACTAATGATTGAGTTTCTTTTTCATCTCTTATTATATGGATTTAAAAGCCATTATAATCAAAGCATCTGAGATAAAGAAGCTACCTTGCTTCTTTATCAAGGAGCATGTGCTCACCACCGCAGTCTGATTGGCTTTTAGTATTTCTGCACAGTTGATAATTCAGAAACATTCCCCTATACAGTAATTAGAGATGAATTTTCCAGCCCTGTTGAAAAACTCCTCAATTTAGCTATGACAGGTTATATTTTATAATGAGGTGAAAGGATACCACTGCTGGAGAAAAAAAAAATCCACGGACTCTGCTATTCACAAAAGGCTGTCAAATATTATATGCTTCAGTGTTGTAGCTGCTCATTGTGAAGGGAAGCCTCTGTTAGGTTTGGGTTTTCCTTGCTCTATCTGTATTCTCAGAACAAACAATTATGAAGAATGTGAAAGCTCTTTAAGGAATCAAACTCTCAGTGACCAACTGGCCGTTTTCCCAAGGAGAAGACACAAAATGCTCACACAGGGTCCCACTCCCTGACTCCCGCTGCCCATGCCAAGGAGCCCTAATTACAATGCAGATCCGCACAGTGCAGGCAGCGCCAAGAGGAGGAGGATTTATTGAGTGAACACTGCCTCTCTAAGCTTGGGAAGTTTCTTGTAAACAGATTTTTGAGCTGCTTTGGTAGGTCATCAACCCCAGCCATCCCCTCCTGTTTATTTATTTGAAGGTGTTTTGCAAAATTATTGGGATTGTCATCTTTTCCACGGCCAAAATGTAATGGTGAGCTAGCTTTATTTCCTGTTTAAATTTAGACCAGAATGTCCACACTGCTTGGCTCTGCATGTGTGTGTGTGTGTGTGTGTGTGTGTACATATCATTTTGTACACACACGCACGTCAAGCTGAAACTGTTGGAGTAAGGCCATTTTTCAGCCTTGGGGTGTCATGTCAAATGCGATCTCAGGTCCCCTAGGACGTGCAGCCATTTGCCCTTGGGAAGTGGCTAACAGGTTGGACGTTGGTTCATTTCCTGCGGTTCTTTTAAACGCAGCCAGCTGTTTGAAGACGGGAACTTGCTGTCATCCGCATTGTTCCAGTAGGTGTTCCAGAAACTTCCTGAATGGGGTTCACCAAGTTGGGACTATTTTTAGTGGGAGGTGCGTATATAATAAACTTTATAAAATATATGTACCTACTACTACAATTATGCAATAAATGTAATTTGCATGATAATATAATAAAATACAGTTGTATTCAGTAATAAAGTAATATATACTATATATAAAATTAATATATTTTGATATAAATTACATGTTATGCCTCTAATTTTTTAAAGGTAAAAAGGTCTTCTGGGAAGTTCAGAGCTTCTGTAAATGATAGATAAAGAGTGGAAAGGGAAGCAGAGCGACCTGGAACACCTAGTTTGTGTTCGGATCTGTGACACTGGAGACTGCACAGTAATGTATAAACAAAACCAAAAGGGGAAATTATTTTTGTCAGCTAGAAAATTTTATTTTTAAAGTAGTCACAGTTACAGGAAATATTACAGATTATGTGGCACCGTACGGCCTTTATTTATCTGCTTTTTCATTGCCACAGAGTACACGTTAACCTTGAGAGTACCTTTTAAAAAAAATCCCAGAAAACTGAGTCCTTGATTTCCTATTTACTTTCAATAATAATTCAGGTTTTGTGTCAAAATACTAATAAATATTGCCAAAAAGACAAATTATTTCTGGACTTTGTTTCTTCAGAGGATGATATCACATTAAAACTTGGCAGAATATGTGTTTGTTAAATATTAACTTCAATAGCTTGAAAGGAAAAATATTGGGAGCCAAAATATGTTGGACAAATAACATTATATCTTAGTGGGTCTGGGAGAGAGTCTAGTCATAAAGTAGGATCTTTGGTGATTTATGTCCCACTGGGACAATACTACTTCAGTATATTTTGTTTGTTTGTTGCACTGTTCTCTACATCACTCTAATGTTTATTGCATTTTGGTGTATATTTAATCTTTATTGCTTTTTGTCTAAATTGTTATATTTTAAGTTTAGGGTCCACAGAGGACTGTCCATCCCAATTTGTGGCGGTGCCATCTAGTGGCAGAGCGATAGCTTTTTCTCCGGGATGTGAATGGGGTAATGGTTAAGGAGCGCGCTGCTAATAGAAGCCATTTTGTCCAGCTCGGTGTTACCTAAAGGGGGCGAAGTAAAATTCCCCTATGTAACACTTTTATCTGCTTTTTGTGTATCTTTTATTCATCTCTAAGAAGTGGGGGCTTGTAGAAAAAGACAATAACCAAAGTGTTTCATCAATTCAATTTCTTTATGAAGAATTATTGCAGTATCTTGTACCCAGAGAAAGCTACTAATTGTCCTAAGTTTATGTTCAGTTTCTTCTCTGACTTCTTAAATTGGTAACGTACTATTATCTGAATTTCACACCTTAGCAACCCCCCCCCGCAACCCAGTCTGTTTTTTTTCATGTGGCTGCCTATAAACCATCCTGTGTTGCAATCCCATTTTAACATGTGTAGAATAGATACAAGCTTTATTTACCTCTAGCACAAAAAAGAGAAGGAAATATTACTTATGTTATGTTAAGTATCTATCAAATATTATGTACTATATTTAATTTCACTTGTTTTTTAAATCTGGTGTGTGTGTGTGTGTGTGTGTGTGTGTGTGTGTGTATGTGTGTGTGTGCATGACACTTACTTTCAGGAAATTATGATTAGTTTTATCACCCTAAATTTGGGAGGCCCTGATATTTGTGCCCAGTAAATTATGGGCCTTTCTTTGACTTTTTCCCCAAATTTTCCACAGTAATCTTACACATGTTGAATTATATAGTACAAGCTTTGATGTTAATCTCACATGACTGGATCACTGGCTCTCTGCATAATTATTGATCTTCAGAAGTACGGTTCTAGAATAAAAGAAGTTTAATGCCATCTCTTATTTGTGAGTCCTTAGGTAAAGTAATTAAAAGTCTGTTGAATAATTAATAAGTAATAATTTTTAGTGCACAGTTTTTCAGATTAAGCCAAGACATTTCTTGGCATGTAGCACACATGAAACTTAAGGTGTTTCTATTATTATTGCATATTTTTTTCTGCTAGGGATGGCAGTCTTCCTTCTACCTACAGTCTCAAATGAGATAGAAATGCTGCTAGGAGATTCTCTCTACTAGTTTTGGTCTCACATTTGCAGAAACCCACCAATAGAAAGTTTACTATCTCAGGCCAGTGTGATATCTTTTACATTGGTCCTGCATTTCCATGTAAGAAGAGTTCTAATTTTCCTAGCCATAACTAACTGTCCTCAGTTGATTTTCCCTTCCTTAACATCTCTTTCCTGAGTCCCTGCTATTAGTTCAGTTGGGCTATCTGTAACAAATGCTTTCTTTCCTTCTTTTTTATCCTGCCTCTATCATATGATGGTCATGTGGGATTAGGAACTGATGGAAGATCACAATGCGCACGTGATTTAGTGCATTAAATGATCAGCACCTCCAAATCTTCAAAGCAGAAACTTAGATGGAAATGAGTTTTTCATAAATAAATTGCATTTGAACATGGCTTTTATAACTAAACCAAGAGTTGGTGTGTGATTGTCTGCTCCAGTATATCTTATTTCTTTTTGCAATGATCATGTTCCTTGCTTGTTGGCATCTCAAGAGGAACGTTTTATTGAAAATTCCTTGGGAGCAGCAGCCATGGCTTGCTCATCTATAGCCCTCACAAGGCTTAGCACAAAGCCTCTTACATGATCAGTGCTTTTTAAATATTGGCTGAAAGAAGAGACCACTTCCCCCAGACAGCCCTTCTAGTGAGATCACTTTAGGAAGTAAAGGTCTCATTTGAAGCTTAGTGCCCTAGGCTGCAAGTACTGTCAAGTATGTCTACAGGCTTTCTTCACCACCTTGCTTATAATTTTACTAGGGATTCAATGCATAAATAAGTTCAGTTCTATATTTTGAAAATAAGTTACTAGGAATTTTTGTTTCTTTCAGTTATAAGAATTAATTCATAAATCCAGATAGCTTTAAAGCAGTTAATAATAGCTTTATAAGATTTGCAAACCTGGTTTTTGTATTACCCTTCCAAGTACCAGGCAGAAGGGCATATATATGTTGTCCTTTAGCCTAACAATACCTCTACATGGAAAACATCCAACATTTTGATATCTTAAGAGAAAGACTTACTTTTGCAGATGTTGCAAACAGAACAGTATGTGATCTCTTTTACCTAGTTGAATTATCTACACAAGTCCAGTTGTAGCAGAGAATAAGTGCTGATTAAAAGCTGTAGTGTTTAAATTTTAAGAATTAAAATTTTTCCATTAATCTCCCTCAAAATATTCCCCTTTACTTCAAGCAGTCTTCTCCCATTGTTCTTACCCCTTTCTGAAGCAGTTCTGGAAGTTTTGTTTTGTGCCATTATGAAATGCTTGAAGCAAAGGGGAATATTTTGAGGGAGATTCATAGCAAAATTTTAATTCTTAAAATTTAAACGCTATAGTTTTTGATCAGCACTTATTCTCTGCTACAACTGGAAGACAAGTGTCAACTCTATAAAGAGCGATGGGGTGCTGAAGAAGACATGTTCCTTTCACTACGTACTCCTCCTTGAATAACTGGTTTCCAAAAATGTTTTGTAAATGCCTTATCTGGTGCTGTCCATTGACATACTTCCTTGCTGGCTTTAGCTCTGACTTGTGAACAGAGTTTGAAGTGAGAAGAAAATTTGCATCATGTGCCAGGCACTTAGTGTGCATTAATTCATAGTAAACAACAAGTTTATTATAAACAATTTAATAGTAAAGTTTACACAAAATAAAGTCACTTAATTTGGGCCAAATCATTACTAGTTTTCTCATACCGTGACTTCCCCAAGTCTGCTGCCTCTAGTGGAACAGTTCATGACATACTCTACAAGCTTTTGTGTTGGTGTTTTTAATCTATCAATGCCTTATTAACTTGTGTCACCTATTTTCATTTTTAGCATTATTTCATGTACTCACCACCAAGTCAAGCCTACTCATTCATGTGTTAACCTGCTCCTTCATCTAGTGTGTATTAAACAACTTTCCTTTCTTGTACACAATACCCAGCATTCATAAATTAAAGGAGGTGTTTAATTTGCTCATAGATTCTATGATAGTCAGAGACATCCTGGCAGAAAGAGCAAAGTAGGGGAAAAGGATCAGAAAGGAAGGGGCAAAGGACCCAACAGACCCAACAGATGCTCAAGTCACACATCCATGACCCCCCTCCAAAAAAAAAAAAACCACCTAGAAATACGCACCACACTTCTTCCCCAGGAAGCATCCTAAGGCCAATGTCTTTTCTCATTGTCGAGACAAAATACTTGACACCCAAAATAAAGGAAGGCAAGGTTTATTTCTTACAGGTCTTGGAGGTTTCAGTCCATGCTCAGTTGGCTCCAAGGCAGCGAGATATGGCTGGGGTAGTCCTTTATGGCTGCAGCAAACAGCAAAAGCACGAACGGAGCAAAAGACACACCTTCTTCCCACCACACTGGATGCTGGTTCCACCCCTTGGTGGATGTAGCTCATTCCACCAATCCAAGCGCTAGACAGTGAACTAATCACAAATGCAGGATTTGGTCATGTCCATGATTGCATGAGGTTTGGGAGGAGCCATCCTGAACATAAACCATAACAGCCAATCAAGTTGAAACTTCAGCCTAACCAGTTCTACCCTAACCAATTCCATCCTAACCAACTTTATATCTCCTAACATACAAAATCTTTGTATTTACCCTCCACCTTGAGTAGCCTAAACATTTTTCCTTCTCTATCAAATACCTGATTGTACCCCAGGCCTTATTACCTGACTACCAACACTGTTGTCTGTTATTTATGGAATCTGGCTTGCTCAGACTAACCCTGATCTGACTTCAATTTGCACAGTCCTGAATCATTTTTCTTCATGTTCTTTGTGCCTTCAGCATCTCCTCACCATAATCTACTGTTACACTCAGATTGTCTCAGACTACAAAGCTCCTTGCCGCAGCCCACTCCTCTGGTCACTACATCAGCTTCTCTTTTCTCTTGCGCTCACATGGACCAGCACAGTGGCTGCCAGTTTGTTTTTTTGCTTCAGTTCTTACACCTTTTCAATTCACCTATCATACTGCTGACTGATTTATCTTTTTAATATTCTCATGACATTTTATTTTCAAAAATCTTAATGACTCCCCAGTGCTTACTAATAAAATAGAAACTCCTTAGCTTTGCATTTTTTTGTCAAGCCTCCTCCATGGTCAGGCTGTCTGCCAGCCTTTCTAGTTTTAACTCACTCTATCAGCTTAATATTTCTTAACATCACTGCAGATGGCATAGCCATTCGTTCTCTACATGTGCACTGTAACTCTCCATCTTATTTTGGCTCATGCCATCCCTCAGCCTGCATTGTTTTCTCTCTTTTAAGTTTGTCTCCTTTCCCCACTCAGCCCTTACTACCCAAATCCTTTTAAGGTTGCATCAGCTTTTTAGGATACAGTTTATTTCTTTCTTTGTTCTAAAAATATACCTGCTTTTAGAGTAATATCTGCAAAATGCTAATGATGTGTCTATTGAATGAGTAAATAAATGAATATCCCCAGAAGAACAAACTATTGATGAGAGCATCTCTCACACCCTAAGTCAGTGTCTAGGTGTGACTAAATTAAAATAATTACCTTCAGCACA